GATTCGTAACCACTTAAAACATATTTTGAGAATCTTTATCAAAAATTGAGATTTCCTTTAGAAAAATCAAATACATTATCTAAATTTGACAAAGCGCATTGGAAGAAAGCAGGAATACCGCTGATTAAGCTACTGTGGTGGTTTGAAATTGGTATTTAAGTGACAGGGAGGAATGTTTATTTTAAATCTGACGAAACACCATCGAGGAAGGCAAGATTATAAGCATGATGATTATTTTTATATTTGCATGGATCTTGAATGTGCTTCTATGATAGTTATCTTTCGTTTCGTATGATAGTTCCCTTCCTTTCAGCCAATTTCTTCTGGTTATCAGAATGTATTTGAGATTTTTAGTTTCGATTTCCTCGTTAATGGTTCGTCAAATTTTGATAATTTTTTTTCCTACTCTCTTAAATGTTCGTTTTTTTATAAAGCTATTTAAAACGGCTGTGATTACGATTATCTAATGATAAAAATCTTTATAAAAAAGTATATGATTAGTATTGTGCGGAACTTAAACTCCATCTAGAAGTATCTTTATGAATAATTTAAGTTAGTAAACAACATGTTATGTAATATGTAAAAAGTCACGAATACTGCAATAAATGAAAAAGACAGAACAACTTACGTAACAGGTTTATTTCATAGATATGTCACAAATGTTCCACAATAAAATTCAAATCACCACAAACTGTAAATTTTTCTACAGTATCATTCATGGAAGGAAGCATGGCAACGTATTTATAATTCATAAACATGAAAATAATAGGATCACAGAAAGAGAAGGTTCTTATGGGAATTGGCTGGAACAAACTTTTCACCAGATTAAGTAACCATTGACGATTGTCCGTTTTTAGATTGGTATTTGGATGGTTGGTGGAAGCTATAACACAGTTTGTATAGGATGGCCTTCGTAGATGCTTCAAAACTTTTGTGTGTCTTAATAAATATTATTTGAAAAAAAAAATGCATCTTTCATGTAAATAAATTAAATTAGTTTTTTTTTTCCACAAATGGTTTATAAAATGTTTCTTAGATAAAATCCACGTGAGACTTAAAGTAACTTATTATACAAGATGTTCCGTAATTATCGCCCTCAATATGTTTTTTTTTAAACTCTTGATAAAATTAAGTAAAAAAGTGTTCGTGATCGCAACACTCCAATACGCCATCTAAAGAGAAGAGGGGTTTGCGGCCCGTGAAGCCTTTTTTGGTGGCCCGCGAACTAAAATATATTAGTGTCAATTTTCGTAAAAAATCTATATGGGTTTTAAATACTTCTAAGTTTTATTTCTTAACAATTTGATATCTGTTGCACATTAATTGTTTAATATATAGGTGAAAAATTAAAGTTATTGTGGCCAGAATTTTTTAATATGCAATTAAATATTTTTAAAAATCCACTTCTTATTTTAATTTGTAATTCAACACTTTTGACGGTAATATTTAATGGTAATATTAAACACTTTTCACTAACAGTAATATTTAATGTTCCTTCAAACATAAAAGAGTCCTACATAAAATTTTGATTAAAGTTGTGGCCCCCCATTTGACTGATGTTTTTAATTGCGGCCCCGTCCTCATGTAAGTTGGAAACTCCGGATCTAGAGCCTTCCTCTTTCAGTTCTTCCCCTCTGCTCAGATGAGTGAGAATATTTTACGATGTCTTCCCTTACAATAATAAGTTTCACTTTTAGATTGTCAGAAATATATTTTAAAATTTACAATGCTTACTTTAAGCACTATGTTTCATAAAGTTTTGAGTTTCGTAAAGTTTCCAAGCTCAAAAAAAAAAAAAAAAAAAAAAAAAAAAAAAAAAAAAAAAAAAAAAAAANAAAAAAAAAAAAAAAAAAAAAAATTGGTTTGAAAATCAAGTCAGAAATTAACGTACTTCCTACTCCTATGACTATCCACACGCTAATGGTGAAGGCCTTCTAGTGTTGCCATAGGTAAAAAGCTCTTGTTGTGCGTCACCTGTAGCTCATTTCAATCGCAGATGCTTATTAGTAACGCAAAAACGAATAGTTATTAAAATTTAACAAATTATTAATAAAGAAAGCAAAATCATCGAAACAAGTTTGACAGCCCGATGAAACTTATAACCGTTTCTATCATTCTCCTTTTTCCTCTCACAGTTTCTTCGGTCAATTAAAGAGGTTTTGGTGTTTTCATCAATAATGATTTTACAATTTTCTGATAACGCTTTTCTTATTTACTCGTTTAGATATAAATTGAAACGCCCATCACGCATAATTATTTTAACTTAATTTTTGAAAAAGGATTCTCGGAATATATGTTAAGGACGGTGATTACGGAAAACCATTTTATAAATGCTTTTTATATAAATTTGAATCAAAGTACAGTTATATGTAGCGACAGCTCATATTATGAAATTTTAATTAAAAATATCTTTAAGAAAAATAACATCGATTTCCTATCCATGAATCATGTATCTCTCATTTGAGGAACATTGGCATTCACCTTTTTCGTTTTTAAAGAAAAGCTTTTTAATTTGCTTTATTACATAAGTAATTTGAGATACGATAATCTTTGGTTGTTATTATTATTATTATTAACTGTCGTTTAGTTACTAATTTATTATAATATGGATGGTTATTTTAGTATAATGAAGATTACAATGTAATGTAGAATATTTTTTAGTTATAGATTACTTTTAGGAGTGGGGAGACACCGGTATTATATGTAATTAAACATATGTTTTCATTTGGATTATTTGAAACGTATTAAAATATTGATTGTTTATTAAAAAAACAAGCATTTAATACTATTTCTGTTTAACTTCCTTTGCTTTTAATATTATCAGATGCAGTTTTTAAATCTTACATGAATTTTATTTTATTATTGTTGATAAATAACGCACCCTAATTGTAAATTTGAGACAGTAAATTTGTCAAACTGTTAAGTAGTTTTATATGAAGACATGGATAAAATCATATGGTTATATATATATATTTAAAATTTCACATTTAATCGTTAAAATGTGCGATTTTTAAGTTTTGAAAAAATGTTTAAAAAGGCAGAGAACTACATTTCATAATGCTCAATAAATTTTTGAATGGTGAAACAACACTATTGTCAAATATTACGTTAACGGATTTATACATTAACAGTTTAGTTGTGGGGAAAAAAAACACAACAGTGTGTTTTACACTATTGACAGTGATTTGGCGGATATGTATTAAAAGCTCATATTTTTGGCTTCATTTAATTGCAATAAATTAATATTAAAAGTGACTAGAATAAATTAAACTTTTTTTTTATCCCGTCAGACTATGTAGTTTGAAAATTTGAGTGGATTTATCCTACTGAGCTACCGTAGAAAAAATTCCTCATCCTGTCTTTAAGTGGATTGTTATTATCCACTGGAACATGTAAATGGATAAAAAGAAATAAATATGTATCTTTTATGCAAAATGGTATAGAACTATTTGCTAAATAAAATTGTAAATAAAATAAAATCCAAATTAGTAAAAACGTGACTAGAGTAGACTAACTCTTTTTAATCCCGTCAGATTAAATAGTTTTAAAAGTTTGAGTGGATTAATCCATCTAGGCAACAATAGGAATCCTGTCTTGAAGTGGATTATTATCACCCATTGGAAAATTTACAGGATGAAACGAAAAAAATTGTATATTTGGCTTCATTTAATGGCAATAAATTAAAAATGATAGTGGCTAGAGTCATCTGATCCCCCCCTTCTTTTTTTATCTCGTCTGACAATATAGCTTTAAAGTTCGAGTGGATTTATCCAACGAGGAAACAGTGGAAAAAATTTCTCATCTTGTCTTAAAGTGGATTGATGTTATCCGCTGGATAATGTAAATGGATAAAAAGAAATTAAAATAACTTATATGCCAAAGTGATACAGAAATATTTCTTAAAATTCAATTGAATGGAAATCTAATTCAAATTAATGAAATTTTAAGTGATTAGAGTAGATTAACTTTTTTTAATCCCGTCATACTAAACAGTTTTTAAAGTTTGAGTGGATTAATCCAATTGGGCAATAATAGGAATCCTGCTTTAAAGTGGATTATTATCATTCACTGAAAAATGTTTGGGATGAAAAGAAAATATGAATTTTGGCTTCATTTAATAGCAATAAATTAAAATGACTAAAGTAAAACCCACTTTTTTTTAAACCCGTTATACTATATAGCTTTAAAGTTTGAGTGAATTTATCTTACTAGGCAACAGTAGAAATATTTTCGCAATTTATCTTTAAGGGGATTGTTATTACCCACTTTAAGACAGGATGAGAAATGGATATTGACAGGACGTCTATAAAGTGGATTGATTAGTATCATCCACTAGAAAATGTATGGGATGAAAAGGCGAAAAAAAAATTCAAGAATAATGTAATATATATAATGATTTACTAAAATCATACTGTTAACCGCTCAACTACACTTTTTCTAATTAATGTGTACTTATGTAAAGAAGCATTAAAAATATCACTTAAAATGTCAATAGCCTTTCTTATAAATTTTCATTTTCATATAAAAGTTACGAAAAGATAAAAATGAATTGAAGTTGAAAGAGATAGAGTTGCGTAAAATTTTTTATTTCAGACTTGAATTTCTTCATTTCGCTTCATCTCATTATAAATTAGTTTTAAAAATCTTAATGCATGATAGAAAGTAATTCAAGATTTTTTGCTAACTTTCATTGAAATTTTGGAATTAAATTCTTTAGAAATATGAAGAAGTAATTAAATAAAAACAAATATTTACAAATTTCTTAATACTTGTGTTATACATTTCTAAAATTGTCAATTATAATTTGAAAACTTCTTTTTTTACGTTACAGCAATTCCTATTTTATCCGTAGAATATTTTATTAGCGTATTTAGCTTCAAAAAAATTCCCTCATTCAAAATTTTAATTTATTTTAGATTTTTACACACTAGAACTACATTGTTAATTTAGAGAAAAAAAATTAAAAGATTTATAAAAAAAATGGAATGATGTAAGAAAATACTTGTAAAAATGAGCTTTAAAAACTAAAATATAATAGAATAAATTATTAATGTATAACAGGTCACACTACATTGAAAATGTAAATTTATGTGGCTATAGGATAATAAAAATGTCAGCTGTTGCCGGATAAAATAGACGCAACTGTCTTCTGTGGCGCTGAACATATTAATTTCATGTCAGCCGATTGCAAAGCGGTTGTAATCATCAAGACCGAATGATTATCTTCAAATGCTTTTAATCTGAGTATAAAAGCATTGTTTAATTCCATTGTTACTTTGTTCACATTATCATATGCATTTAAATTTATATTATCATATGCATAAGTAACTTATGCATCAGTAACTTATGCAAGAGAATCGGGAATCACCGTGTAAGTAGCAGGGGTTGGTTTGCGAGAATCGTAGCCTAACGAATCAGGAATAGCTGTGTATCGAACAGACGGTGGGTCCCTCAATAAAAGAGCTTCTTTGGGGAAATGAACGCATTTACGAACGCACCAGAAGAAACCAACTAGACCAAATATAGTGAGAGATGTACCGAAGAATATAACCGATCCAAAGACACCGGTATGTTGGTGCCAAAGTGGGAACCGAGCCGGGGTAATGGAAACTACCTTGTTAGTTTGGTCAGTTGTTTTCCAGGTTATTTCAGGAGAGTATTTGGTGATAATGGGCTTAATAGGATTCAGGATTTCAATCGGGCTGATTTCGGAAGACATCGGTAACTCTGGAGATGTAATCGGTGGTGGTATTACCCTGCTTGGTGATGTGTAGTTGGTATTAAATCTTTCAGATTTCCAAGATCCCTCGTCACTTTTTGCATTCGGAGTTGTAGACACAGTTGTCAATCTTAGTGCTGAATCAAAATTATCGTCATCATCATTCAGCAACATATCATTCTCAGACCAACATTCTGTATGGCTTACGCTGTATTGAGCCGTGCATTCAGAGCTTCGCGTAACAGCACATAGTTGTCCATTTTCTTCCCAAGCAACAAGAACACTCTGAAGACTAGGCAGCTTGCTCGTAAACTTACGATTAGCCCTGCGCCATTTTGTGGTATTATGATTAAATGTCCATAGTTCTATTAAGCTTTTATCATCCAACCATAACCACATATTTTCAGATCCAAGTTTAAAAGATAATGAAAGTCCTTTATCACTTTGATTAAGGTCTGGCCATACAGTAGTCAAGTTATCAGATGCCATAACAACCCAATCTATTCCTGAGGCATTGGTATACATTATTCGGGTGTAAATACCGAATTTTTCAACCATAACTAATTCGCCATCGTCCCATATCCAGGTGTTCACAACTCCAAGAGGAGTTGACCAATTGACATTATCCATTATTGGCATATCTCGGCTTACTGTCCAATGGGCTTCTTCAGAATCCAGCAAATATAGTGTCTCTCTAAGGGGATCGATTCCAAAAAGGTTACCATTCATACACCAGGTGGCATCTTTATCCACGTAACCAAGGCTAAAATCATCAGTGTCAACAAATTGCCAGTGCTGCCACGGTAAGTGGAGTACTAATGATGCATTCTTGCCAACTAAAGCTACATATTTCTTTGGATCACCGCAAGCTACTTTCCAAGGTTCTGAAGCGGCTGTTCCATTTGGAAGGGGTAGTAAAGACCATGATAAGTTAGTGGCGTTGAACCACCACAAGTTCCCATTTCCTACACCCCAAATATTGCCTTGAATGTCTTTGTAAGCTGAGAGGGCTCGAAGCTCACACGGAGATTCAGTGTATAAATCACTTTCTTGTGCCACTGTAAATAAAAAATTTCGAAATTACTATTTAAATATACATAATATACATAAAAAACAACAACAGCAGTATCTAAGGAATGGCATAAAATACAAAATACAATGAAAAATACTCAAGAATCGACAACAAAAATTGAAATTTGCAGTTTACCAGTTATTACGTGATACTTAATAATATATTCCATGCATTTATTTTTTAGATTCCTTATAATCTTTGTTTTTTGTTTTCAATTTATAGATTACTCCAAATTCTAATGAAATTTGGCACACACGTGCCTTGACAGTCAAATTAATTTCTGCAAAGTTTCAGACCAAAAAATAAAAGTTGCTATATTATGAGAGCCATCGTTGGAATTCGAACCTCGATTGCCTCACTGGGAGGTGAACTTCTTATCCATTGAGCCACTGCGTTTCGATGGAAATTGCGAAATTACAATAACACGAGCCGTGATGGCTCAGGGAGTATCGGATTCGAATCCCAGCGATGGCTGGTCGATACGAATTCCTCATCTGGCCTGCACCGATCACAGTGCTGACGTCAAATATCCTCAGTGGTAGACAGATCATGGGTTTGAGTTCCCTTGTCGTCAGGCTAACCGTAGGAGATTTTCGTGGTTTTAGTCTCAATGTAACGCAAATGCGGGTTAGTTACATCAAAAAGTCCTCCACGAAGGCGAATTTCTCCCAATACTTAATCCAGGAGTTCCCTTGTCTTCTGGATTAAGTTCAAAACTATAAGGCTACGGAGTGGAACAGTAGTTGTCGTTAACCCAAAATTTGGGTCTTCTGTTCAACGACGGCTATAAAAAGTTACAATCACGGAATTAAAAAATAGTGAATCATATAATGAACTAAATGAATATGCAGGAGTTCTGTAATCACCGCCCTTGATATAAGTTTCATATTCTTTGTCAAAACTAAACTTAAAAAAAAATATTCTCATTAAAGGTCGAAAGTGTATAAGAAAACGATGAAAAAACAATTGCTTTAAGAGGCTCTCGTATCACTTGTGAGGAAGTTGGAATATAAAACACCAAAACCAGTTTAATTACCTGATGAAACTTAGAAGTCTGTTTAACACTAATCTTTCACCTCTTTTTCTTTCTTCGGTTATTATCATTTGTTATTTTTTGTACTACCTTTCTCAGTGTGATTCGTTATATTTTTATAATGTTTTTTCGATCTAAAATATATTTATTTGCGAATCCTACGGTGTATACTTTATTTCATAAAACTCTTACTCCTATTCTAAAAATTTATATCAATAGCAGTCATAACAGAACATCCTGTATGCTTAACCAAACAATATCACATCTTTTAAATTCATGAAATTTGAATCCAGGAAAATTATAAAACCAAACCATCGCATGCGATCTGGAATAGTTTTAAAAGACTTGTCGAAAATTACGCAAGACTTTTTGAAAAGAATTATTGTAAATAAAACATTGCAAATAAAAAATTCAAAATAAATTAAAAACATACAAGACTCTACAGAAAAAATTGTATTTATTTTGTTTCTTTAACTGTCCTTTTTCACAATTCACTTCCAAAAATTCTCCTCCCCTCTTATTCGAAAAAAAACCTTTTTTATTGTCTAGCCTAACTTTTTCAAAAAATAAATTTTTGAACAATCTATTTTCTGAATAGATTTGAATTTGACAAATAAAGTTTAATTAGTTAAATAATAATCCAGATACATCTAACTTACAGTTAATGAAATCGAATTTGCTTAGACATTTTGACAAAATACCCTTGATTAATGCTAATTCAATACTAATATGTTTTCAATATAAAGGAAATCGATTAATTTCTAGATTCTTTTAGAATTTGTAGAAAGTCATTAAGCTAAGTTTTAAGAATAGAATTTAAAAATAAAATTATTGAACTATTATTTACTTACTGTAAAACTGTAAATTTAAAAACTTAAAATCGTTAAACTGCTAATTAAAAACTGCTTTAAGAATTAACGTGATGTATCCGTTTGAAATGTGTAATCATGAAATTCAAATTAGTCGTCACCTTTTTTTTAAAACTTGAAATAAATTCTTAAATAGTATATAAAGGTTTTTTAAAGAAAATAATCTAAGACGTACTGTTGAAAATAAATTAGTAATTTAACGGNCTAAATGAATATGCAGGAGTTCTGTAATCACCGCCCTTGATATAAGTTTCAGATTCTTTGTCAAAACTACACTAAAAAAAATATTGTCATTAAAGGTCGAATGTGTATAAGAAAACAATGAAAAAAAAAAACAATTGCTTTAAGAGGCTCTCAAAAAATAAATTTTTGAACAATTTATTTTCTGAACAGACTTGAATTTGACAAATAAAGTTTAATTAGTTAAATAATAATCCAGATACATCTAACTTACAGTTAATGAAATCGAATTTGCTTAGACATTTTGACAAAATACCCTTGATTAATGCTAATTCAATACTAATATGTTTCCAATATAAAGGAAATCGATTAATTTCTAGATTCTTTTAGAACTTGTAGAAAGTCATTAAGCTAAGTTTTAAGAATAATATTTAAAAATAAAGGGATTGAACTATTATTTACTTATTGTAAAACTGCTAATTTAAAAACTTAAAATCGTTAAACTGCTAATTAAAAACTGCTTTAAGAATTAATGTGATTTATCCGTTTTAAATGTGTAATCATGAAATATAGATTAGTCGTCACTTTTTTCTTTAAAACTTGAAATACTTAAATAGTATATAAAGGTTTTAAGAGAATAATTTAAGACGTACTGCGGAAATTAAATTACTAATTAACAGAGAGAAAATGTTCCTGAAATAAGAACTCAGATTGAAGGCAACCTTATAGCAAGCGTTGTATTTTTTATTTTCATTTGGTTTGCTAATTAGTCCTTTCTTAAACTTTGTACAAATATTTGTATATCAGTTTCCTAGAAGATTAAATAAAGGCACGCAAAAAACTTTACAGAAAAAAAAATTTAATTTTTCAACTTTTATTGTAAACCTTATTTTTGGCTTTTTTCCTTTTAGCTTTTCTCATGCTCTCAAATGCAGCATTTTGCTTGTGTTGAAAACTTAGTGATTGACCAGACCAACCTTTATACTTTATAGTTACAACGAACCGACCGACCTGTGTAGGGGTTAGGGAACTGCCCTTGCATCAGAAAGGTTCTGGGTTCGAATCCCGGTCAAGGCATGGATGTTCTTTCCTTGTCTGTACTTACTGTGGGAGCAACGTTGGCCCACCTAATATGGTGCCCCTGAACAAATCTGCCCTGTAAATGCCTGAATTGACGAAAAATGTTAACACAGCTAGGCATTGGAAAAAAAAGTGTTAAGGAAAGTATATCAAAGCCTGCTAAAATCAACCTTGTTTCAGTGATGATCATAAAATCGAAAATAATCCTTGAGAAGATGTATTTATCCTCGGTTTGAGAACGCTTCTTACTTTTGATTTGCAAATGAGGCTTCAACCTCGATTTCAGAAGGTTTTTCTGGCCTTGTTTTATAAAGGCAGATTCAACCTCGATATAAAAGGGTTGTTTGAGCAAGTTTCATGTGAACCACTTAATTAAATTTACCAGTATAGTTGAATTTAACATTGTTTCAAGCTTGCATGGTTTGTTTGCTAATCATTATGGTTGGGTTTTATGATGAAGGTTGTTGCTTACATTAAAATCAACCTTGCACTGTTATCAGGGAAATTCTTTTTAAAATAAAGAGTAGGATATAGCAGTCATTATGATGTTAATTATGATGTTATTCATCTAAAATACATGGGACTATCATTAGAAATCGACCACAGTTTTAAGGAATCAATAGCATTGCAGCGTTATTAGACAAATATTGGTAAAAGTTTATTATTTTAAAATTTATATAAGATTTTCTTTGTAAAAATGCAACTAACAATTACAACTAACAATTACAATACAACAATTAACTTTGTTGTTCGGGGTTTATAATTAGAATGCTTTTAGTGTGTAGGTATAACAGTTTATGACAACGTTATGTAGGTAACTCATTTTAATAATCCACTTCCCTCATTCGGTTTTTTTTTAAATTTTTAACCAAAGTATATAATATAAGGGAGAATATATTATATATTATATTTAATCTTCCTAGAAAATAAATAAAACTGAAGTCGTCTTGTCGTTAAATTTATTATTATTTTTAAACCCCATAAAAACAATTTGAATATTACTAGTTATTCTTTTCGAATGAAATCTTAATGTAATTTAGATTCAGAATTTCGAATTTATGAGGATTGGCAAAAGTTTCTATGAGAATAATTTAAGTTATTAACAATTTTTAATCAATAAATTAAAAAAAGAACGAAATTTTTATTTAGTCTTAAGGTAATTCTTTTCTATTATGTCTTCGTATCTAAGAGCTAAAATACTTTAAAAAACTAAATCTAAAACTGTAAAGGTAAAATAATCGAACGATAGTTTATTTAATTTTAAAACATTTAGATAATGAACTTATGTTGTTTCTAATGACACTTGGACAAGCCAAGCTCGCTAGTCATTGGCCACAACAAGGGTGAAAGTGTGTCTTAACCCAGAACCCCACGGATAGATAGAAACACCACTCATTCGTGCATCCACTTCTTCAAATTAGACACAGATATGAAGGGGAAGGAAATTTTCATCAGTTCCCCAAATCCATAACGACCGACAGATTTACAGATTTAGACCATATATTAAAGACACCACATATTACAGATTTAGGCGTACATTGAAAATACTTGGTAGGTCTTAGCGGAGTCGAGGATCGAACCTAGGTGCCTCCGGACCAGAATCCGGTTCTCTAATCAATGTTCTACCGCGGACCTAAAACAAACTCAGAAATTTTAAATGCATTAATCTAATAATCTTTAGTGAATATCCGTCTGATACAAATACGTTAATTATTTGTTTTGTTAAGAATTATTTTTCGTTACCAGCTTTTATAATAATTCAGCGTAGTATTCATTATGCAAAAAAGTATTCAAGAGAATTTTTTAAAAATTACTGTTATATTC